ACTACCCAGTCCGAGGACGAGAGGTTCTGTATATATAGAGGAGACTCGGTTCGGGTATGATAGCCTCCAGAGGAGATGGATCCTCATGACTAGCCAGACGGGAGGCGTAACCAGATGCTGTGTAATCCTAGCTATAATACAATACAGATCGCCAAGGGCTCCGCTCGATTGGAGCTGTTCATGGGAGTAACCCATATTTAAGAAGCTCGAAGGGCCAAGTGAGAAGGAGCAGCAGACCCGGCCGCTCTTTGCTCCTTATAACTATGTAGGCACGGGTAGTCTACTGCCAGGAAGGATGGAAAAGCTGAGGCAGGTCCCAGTATGGTAACTTAAGATCTCACAATGATGTCCTTTCCTCAAGCCTATGAAGCTAGAAGAGTTGTTTTACCAGCTTGTGAACTGCTTTTACATCAACAAAAAAATAGGTTCCCAAAACACACCAAAGAGTTATCTAGAGCACCTTTTTCGGACCCCCATCGCAATATATCGCTCATTTTCCTCCCAGTACCCCCTTCTGCCAAGCCTATTCCCGATTTTCCATTCCCGATCCTCTCCTAAGAGATCAAGTCCCCCAAAGACCTGGAGATAACGGGAGCTTCACTGCAGTGACATTCAACTTGAATCTGGATGGGAATTCTCCCCTACCATGAGTAGGTTTATCACGACCGGAACCATGCGCTACCGCACGCACACAGACAGTATATATAAGAGTGGGACAAGGAGAGTGGTGCGGAGCAGGAGTGTCGAGGTAGATTTTGGTATGATACGACACCCACCAGTTCGTCTTTCTATCTCCATTTTATTTCCTACCTACAATGTCATTCTGTAATCTGGTAGGTTCTTAGGGAGCAATTGGGGAGAGGTCTAACATTCCGTTCTTTTTTTCCCATTCTTTTTCTTCTATATTCCTTTCCCTTTTGGCCATTCTACAGGTATCCTACTTCCTCAAAACGGGCATCAGGACCGAGGGCACCTACTATTTGCATAATATCCACGATGCAAGACTGGTTTGAAAATGCATGACTGTACTGGTGAGACAACCGCTATCACAATCCCCCAAGTTCTCAACTTTATAAGTAACCATTCCGAAATGTTGTTTCAGGGCGAGTAGACGTGTGCGGGGTGGGACAGCAGGTATTAAATTCGTATCTGAACCAGTTGTCTGAATCAAAGATATAAAAAAAGGACTTCTCAATCCAGTGTATTTCTTCCAAGTCTGGGGATGCCATGGAATTTATGTAGCAAGACTTCCGGAACACAAGATTTGATTTGTGCATGTACTGTCTCCAACCAATCGAAGACTCCCTCCTCTTGATAATTCTCGCACAGTCTCCCGGAACTGTTCTTGGTATTAACGGCATTGGCAATTAGCGAAAAGTGCTTCCAATTACCATAGGCTATTTTTCAACGTTTTTAAACTGGGCTGGAATGCCTTAGTGCCCGAGGGATACACCACACTACAGGTACCATTCTCCTATACAGTACGGTGGTACCAATCATGTCATGAAGACCTCTGGCTATAACGGGTATTGCCTTTTGTAAAGATCTAAATTCTGTAAACGCGCTTGTTGAAATAAAAAATATAAAAGGGGAGGCATAACCGGCAGAAGCGGTCTCACATATGATAACTGCAGTAGAGAAAAAAAATATCAACAGACGTTTGAAATATATTCCGTGGCTCTGCAGCGCATGGTCCGACGAATCTCCAACTTGGGTAGTTTTTTTTTTTTCCACTCCCTGAAAGCCCTGCTGACACTACCTAACAGCGCCTTCATAACATCATTAAAGGGAAGGCGGGGTCAAAGTTGAGTGGCGGAGGAGTAATCTAGAACTATCATTCCGGAACGTACCGGTAGATCCCTTTGGGGGGAAGGAGGGCCCTGAGAATAGAAGTGGATGTTCCTGGCGTTTGTAGTTACGGAGGATCATGTCCTCCGTGAGGGATGATAATCCTATCTACCGTAGCTTGCTTGCGGTACCCCTTGTGTGAGTACTATTCGGCGTAAGAGTATCCTTCGCTACCTTATTCTCTAGCCTACCCCCAAACCAATACTTGCACTTGTATTATTGACTTAACACTCTTTTTTCCCCTGCTCCACCCCACGTTTCCCTGTTGGCTTGTTTTTTCTTTTTCCTGTTTGCTCCCCTCTCTTTTTTCTCTTTGGCTCCCTCTACTTGTACCGCACAACAATGACCTTGGTCTGGGTGAGATCCAGTAATCCTCCTATCATCCTAGCGCGACGACAATGCCACCGAGAATGTCCAGAATAAGTATAAGTTGGTTTAGTATTGGTACTTGTACGAGTAGAAGGTAGCAAATCCTTGCATTTGCTTCCCCTTTGTGCCCCCCCCCCAAGCTCGTTCCTCCCTTTTTCTCAGAATCCCGGATCATAGATGAGTGGCTTTTCGTTCTCAAAGTGGTACTGCACTAGTACTCGAGTACTTGTACTAGTACGCATGAGCGGTATGGGCGCGGTACAACACAGTAATGACGTTCCCGAAAACGCCTCGCTTTGGACTGTAAGTTAATGTCCGGCACATCATACTGTACTAGTACAGCCCACCCTGTCTGTCCGTCGATCCGCCTGTCCCTAAGCAAGCCCATCGGGGAAGTGACTTCGGGGAGGAAAGGAGGAAGGAGAAAAGAAAAGAAAAATCAGCTCCTCTTCATCCTTGCCCTTGCCTGCGTTTTCAAGCGCATTTCTTGAATGTTTTCTTCTCCAGCCGGTTAGACTAACTGTATGAGCTCCCCCGGGTGCTCAGCATCCATAGTACAGGGTGGGCTATGGGGTGGGATCGGCCCGGTGTATCATGAACATAAGGCGACAATTCTGTAGAGTGTTTATTGCTGTCTTCTTCCTTTTTTCTTTTTTTCCTTTCTTTTTTTGATAGAGAGGTACTCCTTGTAATCCAGGTAACATCTAGACAGCAAAATTAAACGTGGAAATTCTTCGGCTCTGCGATGGAATGGCATGGTGTTGTATGGAAATCATGGTGGCTTTGGTGACGTGTAGGTTCATGTCCCCGTGACCCAAGTTATCGAAGTACGGTAATTAAACTTGAGTGAGTTGGGATTTATGGAGGGGAAAGGGGGGGTGGGTGAACTTTCAGGTAGTAGCTTACCCCCCGAAGAAATTGGGTAGTGTCCTGGTGGCTAAATACGAATTTTGAAATGGGAAGAGCTTGGGGACCTTAGCTTTGTTGTTTTGCAAGATGTTTCTGTGGCGAGATGTAGATGCTCCAGGGGTTTGGATAAAGACAGTTCTGCAATCCTCTAGCCCATCTCATCGCAGTTATAGATCGAGAGGTATCACACTTCAAGGGGCTATGATACGCGGTTTTCTCGGGGATACAGTTCCAACCCTATACGACAAGCTAGGAAGCTGGGCTCGGACGTGAAGCCTTGTTGTCAACTATAGCTCCACGGTCATCACGAAAACAGGTCTCAAGAGAAGCATTCCAGTGCTCTCTCTAGTCGCTTCAATCGTATCAACAATCTATATGCCTTTAGCACAGCTTAGACACCCTATCTCTGGGTCTCCGCCACTCCAACGCTTAGCCCTTCGTCCTATCCAATATCCCAGAGGAAGTACTCCGCCTACTCTTCCATCAACCCTCTAATCAAAGCACAGAAGGCTCACCACACCAACGTTAAGAAATCCCCTACATAATTATGATACTTTATCCCTTTGTCTCCTCCGAGAACCGCACCAGGGCTAAAATCCCCTCCACCGAGATCTCCTACATTCACATACGCTCACTCGTGTGCACAGTTCGCAAGGGGGCGCCGTAGGCAGGTGCTCAAGATGGGACACTGAGTTTTGGCCCACGCCCTCACAATCCACCACTTTACGATAGCAACTACAACTGCACAATCGGAAGATATCGAAGCCGAGTGACTGATTTGCGATAGAATAAAGTGACTATGGGTTACACATTAGCCATTTTATTAGCTCTCCTTCTCTTTGCAAGCAGCTACTTGTATGCCTCGGTATCCCCTCTATCCAAGAATCCTCTCTTTTCCAAGACCAAAGGTCTCTCTCCCGTTATGCTCAGAGGATAAGTTGTGCCTTTTGGTAGCGGATTGTTTATCATTTTGGAACCTAACTTATATATCTTCTCTTGAGCAGAGGGACCAATACGCGGTGGAGTAAACCGTGGTTTGGTGGGGTGCGCTCTGGTTTTTCCATTCTATCCTATACGAAGAATCATAGCCCAATATCTCTAGAGATATTCACAATATCCCCAAAAGTCCACCCAAGCACCAAGATATCTCCCTATAGCCCGAGAGATCTATCCGGCATTAAAGAGAGAGGGTTTTATAAATAGGAGCACTTCTTGCTTTACTGTCTCGGCGCCGTTATATGGGACCATGATGAACCCGATGTCCTCTTCAACGTTTGCCTGTTTGTTGTTAATAGGGGTCCTTTGGTAGCGGGACAGGCCATAGCACACCAAGATCGAAGATTTTCCGGCTATCGTTGCCCAACTCCCATAGGGGAAACAGTATAGAAAAAATTCAAAAAGTGATTTGCTACAATAGGAGTAGGATGGAAAAGGGTAGGATTTTCCTTCCGTTCTGCTAGAGTAGCGGGGTGTGGAATGTTCCTTCCCTGAAGGCACTTGACAGAGCCATGGCTTTTGTGTAGGAAAGGTATATTGCGACAGATCCTACAGTTCATGCTCCCACAGCTCTGCACGAACTCCGGGTAAACGCCTGGAATAAATATATATTATGCCCCAGACATGATAAATTTCTTAATTTCTCTTTCAGAGCTAAGTCTCAGGATACCTGTGGGGATCTGGTAACTCGGAAACCCGCAAGTTTCGGTGAGTTTTGGCCCTGTCTCGTAACCAAACGACCTCTCTGTTCGTCTTCATCGAGTGACACCCTATGCCCAAGAATCCTGTCTTGGCACAAAGGAAGAGCCTCAAAAGATTTATTTCTATTAAACACTTGCACGAGTAAATCAAAACAAAGTAGGACAATCCAAAACGGAACATCACCAATTCCTCCCCCTTTCCCAAGCGGAATATACAGCCTAGAAGGGATTCACTATCATCGGTTTTCAACGCTCGATGCGACAATGCTTCTTGGTCCGTAGGCTTCTCCTGCTCTTCGAGCGAACATCCTCCACGACCTCACCGTTCCGGCTATCGAGGTACCCGCCGCCCGTCCACTCACTACCGCCGCAGAGGTTTTTCTCAGGGTCCGCTAGGGCTTGCTTCGAGAGGATTTCGCCAGAGTTGGAGAAAAGGATTAACGATGTTCCGCTAGAGAGGTTTAGGAATTTTTGTATCGTGGCGCATGTGGTGGGTTTTCTATTCGTTTTCTCGCTCGCTCTATTTGACGGGTGGTGCAGTTAGCGTTAATTGAAGTGCTGATTCAATTTCATAGGATCATGGGAAGAGCACCTGTACGTTGATTCAATACCCGGAGTCTCAAAGGAGAATTCTTGATTCCCCCTCTTCTCTTTTCCTTTTTCTTTTAGGGCACGGTGGGATAGATTGTTGCTAATGTTTCTTCGAGTGAGATAGTGAGTGACAGACTTCTGGAGCTCACAGGGACCATTGCTCCTGGGGGGAACAAACAGATTTTGGACAAGCTTGATGTAGAACGGGAACGGGGGATTACTGTTAAAGCGCAGACATGTAGTATGATTTATAAATACAAGGTTTGGGCTGATTATCTTCATTACCGAACTAATTGCTAATGATGGTGTAGGGAGAAGATTATCTCCTCCATCTTGTGGATACCCCCGGGCATGTCGATTTCCGAGCAGAAGTATCTCGAAGCTACGCTTCATGTGGAGGAGCGATTCTCCTGGTCGACGCATCACAGGGCGTTCAAGGTACCTACGTCTGACTCCATATCCCCAGACCTAGAGTCTAATGATCGAGCCCACAGCACAGACGGTGGCCAATTTCTACCTCGCCTTTGCTCAGGGTCTACATCTCATCCCCGTAATCAACAAGATCGACCTGTCAACGGCAGATCCGGAGAGGGCGCTCGAGCAGATGAAATCCAGTTTCGAGCTCGATCCCAAAGGTGCAGTCCTAGTTTCTGCTAAAACAGGCCTTAATGTTGAGTCGATATTGCCGGCTGTTGTCGACCAAGTGCCGGCGTAAGAGTCTCCCCATTCTTTTCTCATGGGTGGTTTCCTCAATTGAGAGAGATAATGATCTAAAAACCCCACCGTTCGACAGTCCCGTAGGCTCCCATGAAGCTCCATTAAAGATTCTCCTAGTAGACTCCTGGTATGACATGTACAAAGGTGTGATCCTGTTAGTCCGGGTCTTCGAGGGCACGCTCCGGCCCGGAGATACCATCGTCTCCTTCGCTACAGAGAAGAAATACATTGTTGGAGAACTAGGCATCATGCACCCCCTCGAGAAAGCCACTTCCTCCTTACGTGCAGGTCAGGTCGGATACGTTTACTTCAACCCAGGGATGAAGAAGAGCTCCGAAGCAAAGGTCGGGGACACATTTACGCATGTCGGTATGGGGAACGTTGTCCAGCCGTACCCAGGATTTGAGGAACCGAAACCTATGGTTTTCGTCGGAGCCTTTCCTGTGGATCAGTCGGAGTTTAATCAACTGGACGATAGTATCAATCAGCTAGTTATTAACGATAGAAGTGTTACGCTCCATAAAGAGTCTTCGGAAGCTCTTGGGCAGGGGTGGAGGTTGGGTTTTCTGGGTTTGCGTCATTTACTATCACTCGGATTTTTGGTGCTAACTTGATGAACCGAAGGTACGTTGCATTGCTCGGTATTCGAAGACCGCCTGAGGCAGGAGCATGATACCTCAATCATCATTACCGCTCCAACGGTGCCATACATGATCAAATACAAGAATGGCTCTGAAGTCATCGTCCGAAATCCGCACGAATTTCCAAATCCCGACGTGGAGTACAACAGGATCGAAGCCTTCTACGAGCCATTAGTTCTTGCCACCATCACCGTCCCAGATGAATACCTTGGGAAAGTTATCGAGCTCTGCGAGGTACAGATTTTATATATTTCCTCCTATCCCTGGTACCTCTCATAGATGCTAAAAACGATCTTAGTCAAACCGCGGCACGCAAGTCTCCATCGAATTCTGGACAGCCAGCCAAGTCATCTTAAAGTACAGAATCCCACTCGCTCAGCTAGTCACCGACTTTTTCGGAAAACTCAAGGGCATAACGAAAGGCTACGCGTCACTAGACTACGAAGACGCTGGGTATGAGAGGAGTGATGTTGTGAAGCTACAGTTACTTGTGAACAAAGAACCCGTGGATGCTATCTCCCAGGTCCTGCACAGAAGCCAATGTCAGAGGATTGGTAAACAGTGGGTTTCGAAATTCAAAGAGTATGTGGATCGGCAGCTTTTTGAGGTGGTCATCCAAGCCGCAGTGGGGAAGATGATTGTTGCGAGGGAGACGGTCAAGCCTGTTAGGAAGGATGGTAGGGTTTTGGAATCTTCCTTGCGTTAGGGGCCCCCGCACTGATTTATTGCGTAGTTACCGCAAAGCTCTATGGTGGTGACAGGACCCGGAGAATGAAGCTCCTGGAGAAACAGAAGGAAGGAAGAAAGAAGCTGAAAGGCGAGTCCTCACATTCATAGCGCGCAAGCAATATGAAATACTAATTTGTCATGATCTAGCTATCGGCCAAGTCACAATCGACCAGAAAGCTTTCCATGGTTTCCTGCAGAAGAACTGATAGATCCCTTACGAGACGTTGAACGTATCACACTGCATTCAGGATAATTATTCTACTGTAAATAGGAAACACATACATAAGTGTTAGGATGTGTATCTCTGCATTGTATAGCGAAAGTCATGCTGGACCAGTGGGGGCTGTACTTGGAAGCATTCTCCCGTCCTGGATCGTTGTCACCCAGGCTGTAATACGATTTTACGCTTCAATATTTTAGGGTATTCTGGGCGTCGATGGACATCACGCTTTCACCCATATCACATCATCGGGGTATAGGATCACTACGGGTCATGTAGATGGTCACTCGGGGAGCGTGGATGACTGCCCCCAACGAACCCGACATTCAAATAACACAATAAACTCGACCTCGTGGTCGTTATATCCATAACCCTATCCATGTATCACCACCCGCTTTCACCCTGGGGTTTTTGATGTCAGCATTTACAGTATGTAGTGTCTTTGGTCATATCGAGGGTTTGTGAAGGAGTACTGGAGGCGCTCGTGGCGCGGAACGCGCACAAATATTTGTTAAACCTGCCATGATATCATACTTTTCTCCTCCTGCGCTTGCCTCGAGCACGATACCAATCGGCGCCCTCAGGGTTCGCGTAGATGTGGCAACCTCAGATATCCTATCATACCATGATAGGTGATGTCTTTTAGAACTAGCATCCACGAGAAATCTGCGAATACATTGGGTATGGTTAAGTCAGCCAGTGTTTGGTATGGTATGAAAATACTCTTCGGACTAACCAGCTAGCTTACCAAATTGGGGCTTGCTGTGGGTTTATTTTAAAGACCTGTTTGAGTTTTTTCTTCTTCCCTTTTGTCTTTAAGGACATTAATATAATATATAGATACATGTCAGCAGCGTAAGGACTAGTTATCATATATGAGAAACAGGCTATGTGGAGATGTCGGGATAGATATCCATGCAACGTAGACTTGAAATGAAAGGGTACAGCTTCGAAGGGATATCATACACAAACGCGGCCAGAGTTCCGTCTCTACGGAGCAGGAAATCATCTCTGCGATTACGAGACTCGACACAAACGCCGCGATCTCGAAAATCCAATCAGACTTCTAGTCCTTCCTTCCACCCACCCGCAAACAAAGCGACTGTGCATCCCGTGCAGACCGGCATAAAGTCAAGTTAATAAATAGGGAGACGGGGAGGGGAAAAGGCCCAGCGTCATGGTAAAGTAAATAACTTCCGCCTCCTGGCACGTCCCGAAGTGCCTCCGGTAGGTAGTATATCAATATCTCGCGGACCAAATCGATATCTTATCATACTTTACAATCCAAATGGACTGGATAGAGAGAGTGTGTGTGTGTTTGCGAGTCCAGACCCGCACAAGAGCTCTACATCTCCACTGAGGAGAATTTGCCGTACAGTCACTTCCCCCAGTGTCAAAATTGCGAAAACAAAGAAACACCATCGACCGGTTCTTGTAGACTAACTTAACGCCCAAGAGGCCGGTTCACGGCTAGCATTGAAGGGAAGGTCAGGAGGGAATCCAACTCCCAATGGAAGGACAGACCTAGCTAGTATTTTGGTAAATAGTAAAAAGTAAGGTGGTATAGAAAGGGTAGGCGCTAAGATATTTCCCATTCATCACGACCTCGCTGTAAGGGCGGTGTTTGACCTTCAAGCCTACCGCCCATACATATCATACATGCCATAATTATGGACATAATAATATTATAATAAGCCGATCAGGCTGAAGATAAGTGATATGAGTGATTTCTTGTGATAATTGATCACTGGTCATATATGCATATAAAGTGTCTGGGTCCTAGAATTTTGTTCAAGAGAGGTTTTTATGCCCGGCTTCGAAGTTTTGGCGTCAAGAGCCATAATCCAGACGCGATCCGTCATTGACCCCGCGGTAGTGGCCAGCTGCTCAGATAATCACTCGCTCCGCACCTGCTTCTTGGACCGACCGATTAACCGACCACCCTACCGTAGCAGATCCCTTTCTGGCCAGCGCTTTTGCCTAACATCCCTAATGCCTATATTCTAAAGGGAAAAGGAGTATAAAGTATTGCACTTCCTAGATTCATGTTGGGGAAGGTCGGGCCCGAGTCCATATATCAAGCCCTCAATGCTGACAACTCCACGATTGCGAGTTGATCTTTCCTATAGGGTGTATCGTACATACAGCATCATACCCGGTCTGAGAATTCGTAATAATTGTCATATACGCCCGTCACCGCTTACTTGCCGCGCGGGCACGGGGTGACATTTAACTTAACTCAATCATCAACGGAGGAGATAGTAAATACTGCATCTATGAATGATAGAGGATACCAAAGACCTCTCTAAACACGCCCGGACTGACTGGTAACCAAAATTAGATTCTCTCCCACGATAATAGGTATACACTTGCGAGTTCACCGCTGGTTGGATCCGGTACGAAGGAGGGCTGGCGGTCTGGATGTGGACTTCAACAAGTTCCTCCAAATGCAATATGAGGGGTTATATATCAGCCAGCGCCCTGTAGCTTGATCCGACCCGTATTTAACTGGATGTGCGGTGCGCCAAGTACGTTGGCCACTGCTCTGACAGCATACTTGGGCAGCGATTTATCGTCTCGTGTAATCATCCGTGCTGGTTTACATATACTAGAGTACAGTAAACCGTTACCCTGATGTTTAGGTCTGATACATTCATGCATATTACATCAAACGCTCAAAAATCCCAAGGCATGTTGGGACAGTCTAGCTAGCGAGGGGGCATACACAAGCCAGAAGTTCATAGGTTTAGTTCAGATATTGAGGTATTCAAATTTGATTCTTCATTACGTCGAAGCCCCATAATTTATTCACCGTTCTACAGCCCGTAATCGCAATAATCAAGTATACCCCTCCCCCCCCAACACGTCTCGCAGCACTTGAACCGAGTGATATTTGTGATTCTCACATAAAATCACTCGTTGTAGCGCAATTTCAAGCCCCGTGCGCATGGCCCTGCATACTTCTCTCCTGGGTAGGGTACTTGAGTACTTGTATTACGCTATCCTCGTAGGGAAGCGCTGCCTGCTGCCTTGGGTAGTACTGGACTGGTACCTGCCTATCGCAGATTCCTGGATCGCAATCAAACTTGTGCCCCTATCTGACATCCTGCTCGCTTCATCGCCACCGTGAGAATCCTTGGATCGCTCCTCGCTGGGCTATTGAAGATCTATGATAGCCGCCGGGGGACCGCGATAGCTGTGTAGTCAAAGACCTATCATAACCCACCCTATAATTTCTAATCTTTCGAGAAACATTTACTCGAGGAGGTCTGTTTGTGCCGCTGCCAATTGGCCAAGCAATATACCGATAACATCCGGGGGGTCTCAGCCCATCTCCAAGCGAATCACCATGACACCGAGGCGAGGGTACCGAACCTGCTGGTCTTTCTTTCTTTTTTATGGTACGAGCACCTCTTTCCCCTCCCAAGTGGCCAATCCTTGTCAGACATCCCCCCCCCCATTAGATTGAGCTTGGCGGGACGCTGCTCCAATTTTTGCTAGTTCTGTACTCGAGTACTAATCCCGTTTTGTGTTTTACTGCCCTCCCTCTCCTGGGGTCCGCATTGAAACTGAAACAAAATATGATTTGTTGATGCAGGTGAATTTTTCCGACCGTTTGCCTGTTGCCCGCGCCACTCTGGATGAGGCTTCGACGCAGATTATGACAGCCGATGAATTTTCGTATCCCCTTTCTTTGTCTTTGCTCTCGTTATGTTTATTTGGATTGACTTAGTGGGTTGTTCGTGTACAAGTACAGCGGTGCTGTGCTTGCTCTTGTTATTAGCTGCCTGGCCGGGCCAGATCCGGTTTGGGAGTTGTGCTGTCAGCGAGGATTGGACAGTCTAATGGGATGTGCTTGTAGGAAGGAACTGGCGAGTACGGTATTATAGGTCGAAAGTCCTGGGATTTGACAGAGCAGAGGATAATTTGTACTACACTTGGTAAGTGTCACCAGAAATCGAACCCGAATTTGAGGATGGATGGAAGACTTGTACGAGTACTAGTATTAGTGAGCTTACCCCTGATGTTCTCCTTTTTCCCTCTCCTTCTCCTGCTTCTCCTGCTCCCTCTGTAATTGCTTCCTCCCTTTAAAACATTTCAATGTCGTTTGAGTTACTGCAGAATGTAGTGCTAGAGCTCTCGGTCCCAGCCTTCTCAGTGCCATATAGCTAAGGTAGCCACTACAACACCACAGGTGCCCGACAGGCTCTCCGGGCCTGAACAATTCCTTCGAAGGAAGACTCAAGCCGTGGGAAAACAATATCCTCCATGAAATCTTTAGGAAAACCCCAAAGAGAAGTACGCGTCCAGAGGCTTGATAATAAAAGGGAGCGGATAGAAATTTAAAGTTTGTATCATACGAGGGGGGTGAACCCTTATGGCATATGAATTTGTGTAGGGTACTCGAGTAAACACTGTCCATTACAAATCTCAGCCCCACCAGATGCCGCATCAAGGCCTCACGCTTACCCCCGCCCGACTTACGAGAGATACACTCGCATGCGAGAAAAAGAAACATCAAAGTTTATTTTGGGCCCTGTGGTTCGGGTAGTTCCTACTGTGGGGGAGAAGGGAGGTGGCGGAAGTCGCCAGAGGAAGAAATCTAGAAAAGAACTGCCCTATGGAAAAGGAGGAATACGATGATAAAAAAGCATTGTGCAATTCTAGCATCGAACATAAATACACAGCCCTATCATTGTACTGCACAGTACACAGTTACAAGTACTCGAAGTATCTCTCTCATTTTATGGATGTTGCAAGGCGTGTCCCCTCTCCTTCCGTATCGACCACCGACAACCCCATAGCCCCAGAAACATCACCATGTCCTAGCCTAAAAGCCTGGTGTGCTCGTACTCGAGTAAGATTCGCTTAGATAGAGTGTTGGTCCGGGTCTCAATGGCGCGTTAGGTCCGGCCATCTTTATTTCCTTTTTCTCTTTTTTTTCCCCTACTGTTTCGGTTTCGTTTTCAGCTGGATGGATCATTTGTCAGGATAGAGGATGGGCGGCTGAAGCCTGCGCCAAACATCTACTGGCAATAGCCAACAAAGACATAGTGGCTTCTGTGTGTGCTTGTAAGGCCGGTGACTCCAGGAAGACAGAGTTTCCGAATTCCAGATGCGAGGTTTAAGTTGAATGGAAAACAGAAATGAGCCAAAGCAACTCGTAGCCTCACGAACCTCTCTTACTGCGGAATTCCAACACCCACACCTCTGTACTCGTACTGTTCAACAAGAGAGGTTTACCCCCAGCCCCACTATCACAAGACCTTTGTCTGGCTCCACCCTTCTTAGAGTTAGCCTATTATCTACCAGTATGGTATTGTTCTTACATGGCGCGCTCTATCGTGGAGGAATGAGAATCGTTGAAGAATTTTACCCAGCGGGTAATTTGTCCACTCAGGTGCACCGCATATGTCGGTGGAGTACGGCTTAGTAAGGGAGTGACAGCCGCATCACCAGGTTAAGGTAGGAACAGCGATACGCTGGTCCTATCCTCCAGAGCACTAGCATTGAAGAACTGTTGTAATAATGTATAAACTCCAAGATACGATGGAATATGCTGGCACCGGGCGTTAGGGAGAGGAAAGAAAGAAAGTGGAGAAGATTTGAAAATGCCTGATGAAAGAGGTGGAGTCAAAAGAGGAGTGCAGATATTTAGCTAGAGTTCTTGGTGTTCGTGCAGTGCGCCGGTATTGGGTATGGAGAGGTGCAAAATTTAGATCCGCCATCTTGTCTATCGATAAGGACAACCTTCTCCGCAGTTAACACAGCCAATCACCACAGATATCCGTCGTGCAATATTCGTTGTCAATAATACCAAGAGTTTGTTGTATCTGAATGACGAGAAATAAAATTCAAGCGGGGGAGAGCTCAGCAAAGGCCATCGAACCGTAACAAAAGCGGAGGATCAGGCAAGTTATATTTCCCAGTTGGACGGTCTTTAAGGTTAAGTTACTGCGATTTTTCAAAGACAAGCGAATGGAAACTGTGCAATAGAGTTGCCGCGTGATCCACCTGTGTATCAGAGCACATTCAAATGACAAACGTTACCCCAGCACTGGTAAGTTCGATTTGCAAAGAGGTTCACTGTTGCACCAGCTGGCCCACGATTTCGGACTAACAGGCTGGGAGAGCCCCCTGACACCATACCGGTATTGGGTTAGAGTACTCAAGTAGGTAAGGCTGAGTGTGCCACGCTGCATTTTACAGCGCGATATCTCTTCCGACGAGGCTTTGCCAACCTTTTTTTCTTTTTTTCTTCTTCCCTTTTAACTTAGAATCCAGCTGACAGTATCTTTCAAGCGAGTGATCTTCGATTTCTCGACATTATTGAAGCACAAAGCGTACCGTATGATATTTCATGGAGTTCGATGGCTTGCCACTAAATGCTCCGTAATCCGTACGATATTCCCCCCACCCTTCCAGCTACAGAAAGCTCTCCCGGTGCCGGTGCGGGAGCCCATCGTGTAAGTAGTAAGCTTTCTCGATTAACACCTGAAGTCCAGAGACGCACTTGCAAGGATAGGTTGCCAGCTCGACGAGTCGAGAGGAATCAACGCTCACCACCACAGTACTAGTACTTCATTCGACCATAGAGCGTGCGGCTGAGACGAAGTAGGTAAGCACCGGGAAAAATATCCATACATGCGAGGTGCAGGGAGGCGCACAATGCTCGAGTACAGTACGAGAGCTGGTATCATACAGTACCGGTATCACAACAACGGCAATTCGTTCGTTTCGGTCAGCAGCAGCACAGGAAATTGTGGCGCATGCTGTACTTGTACTGCCCCTCAGTAACTGACAAGTGACTCGAGGATTCCGAAGTGTCCCCCAAGAATGGGTTTATTGACTTGGAGGAACATGGGTAAAATGTGTTGAGATCCAGTTACCGGTAGATCAACAAGTGATTATTATCATCCGTTTTGGCTTGTTTGGGGGTAGGTGCACAAGAGCGTACCGAGTGGCAGGTGGGCCTAACCCATGTGTGAGCATGGCCCGACACTGTACGAGTAAGCAGGGTGAGGGTGAGAGAGCGGGGTTCACTGCCACATGCGCTGGGAGTTCGGTGGAGAGAACCCTTATTTGTACTCGCATAGTACTTGCAGCCACAGCACTTCTGGAAGGACGCGTGAATCCGGTGAGGGGAGACCGCCAAAGCGCTACCTTAGACTAGACCCAGAGGGAAGAGGAGCGAAAGCATGGTAAGCCTGCCCAACGAGACGCTGCCCATCTTCCACCTCTGGAAAAGGAAATAGGCGCAAAATATGCACGAGTACAAGCAGAGTCGGAAAAGATTCATTGAGGATTAGGAAAAAAAAAAAGAGAAAAAGAAAAAGAAAGGAAAATAAATAGAAAAGAAAAAAAAAGAAAAGAAAAGGAAAAAAAGGAAAGTGGGTGTTGGCTACTGTACCGTAGTCCTCTTCTCACCGTGTTTCAGTGGGAAAAAGAAGTCCTTGCGGCACTCCTTTTAACAACTCGTGGGTCTCCTCCTTCTCAGACCTCTTCTCCTTTTCTTCTTCCCCTTCTCTGTTTGCTCTGTCCCCCTCCCAGAGTTGCGTTATCTCCACTCTGCAGAGCCCATTTCATCTCTCCTATTACTAGCTTCCTCCCCCAGCAAAGTGAGAGACAATCTCTCTTTCTGTTCCATTCCTCACTCGGCGATAATTAAAGGACCCTCCCACCCCCTGAATTCCCGTGCCCCTCCAACCTCCTCTTGAAGGTAAAATTTCATTAGCCCAGAGAGAGAGCTTCAACGAATTCCAAGTGAAGTGAAACAGCTCTATTTTCTCCTTACAGATCTTGTGCAGCGGGAATCTACACAATGTCATATCAAGGCGGGAATGCCCAACCAGGGCACGGTGATGACCATACCCAGCAATACCCTCCCTCCACATACCATATGCCCCCTCCTAGAGACTACGACTCCGACGACGAAGAACGAGTCCCCCTTAACACCCAGCAACAACCAGGTGGACCCTTTCAAGCACCATTCGACGACCCGATGAGCCGCTCAACCACCCCCGGTGGTTCTCAACGCCCCAACACTGGGTATTCTCTTTCAGAGAGCTATGCTGGAGCACCAGGAGCTGGTACATACGATAGTGGACCAGGTTATCCTACCGGAAACGATCCGGGTCCTCCATACGGAGCTCCTCGCGTGGCTAGCCCTTACTCTAGGTCTGATAGTTCTTCTACCGAAGCCTGGCGGCAAAGACAAGCCCCCTCCGGGATGCGGCGTTATGCCACAAGAAAAATCAAACTTCAGCAGGGCCAAGTTTTGGCCATTGACTATCCGGTGCCCTCCGCAATTCAAAATGCAATCCAATCCAAGTATCGGGCACCCGATGTCGAGGGCGGTAGTGAGGAGTTTACTCATATGAGATGTAAGCAACAGAGCTCTATCAAAGGGGTATTTGTTATAAGAGATTTGGTCAATGCTAAATTATCATCATAGACACTGCTGCCACCTGTGACCCTGATGACTTTACGCTCCGAAACGGGTACAACCTGCGGCCGGCCATGTACAACCGACATACCGAGTTGCTTATTGCTATCACCTACTACAACGAAGACAAACAATTGACTGCGCGTACACTTCATGGTGTCATGCAAAACGTTCGTGACATTGTAAACCTTAAAAAATCAGAGTTCTGGAACAAAGGTGGGCCTGCCTGGCAGAAGATTGTTGTTTGTCTCGTCTTCGATGGTATCGACCCGTGCGACAAAGACACTCTCGATGTCCTCGCAACCGTTGGCATCTTTCAGGACGGTGTCATGAAGAGGGATGTTGACGGTAAAGAAACTACCGCACATATTGTATGAAGCTCCCCCACCGTGTCTGCAAACATTCTAACCATCCCACAGTTCGAATACACTACCCAATTATCCGTAACAGCTTCACAACAGTTGATTCGTCCTCGTGATGATGACCCATCGTGTCTCCCGCCTGTGCAGATGATGTTCTGCCTAAAGCAGAAGAATTCCAAGAAAATCAATTCTCATAGATGGTTGTTCAATGCCTTTGGCCGGCTATTGAACCCGGAGGTTTGTGTACTGCTGGACGCTGGTACCAAGCCAGGTGCCAAGAGTATTTTGGCTCTGTGGGAGGCTTTCTACAATGACAAGGACTTGGGCGGTGCTTGCGGTGAAATCCACGCCATGTTGGGTAAGGGAGGAAAGAACTTGTTAAATCCACTTGTGGCTACCCAGAATTTCGAGTACAAGATCTCGAACATTCTTGACAAACCTTTGGAAGCTGCTTTCGGATACGTCTCTGTGTTGGTAAGTTTTATACTGCGAGCTCTGGGGGTTTATGCAAATTCTGACTTGCAGTTAGCCTGGCGCTTTCTCGGCTTACCGTTTCCGTGCCATTATGGGCCGTCCCTTGGAGCAATATTTCCATGGTGATCACACTCTATCCGCTCGCCTTGGAAAGAAGGGTATTGAGGGCATGAACATTTTCAAGAAGAACATGTTCTTGGCCGAGGATCGTATTTTGTGTTTCGAGTTGGTTGCCAAAGCTGGGTCCAAATGGCATTTGACCTACGTCAAGACCTCGAAAGCCGAAACTGATGTGCCGGAAGGTGCACCTGAGTTTATCTCCCAACGTCGTCGTTGGTTGAACGGTTCTTTCGCTGCCAGTATTTACTCCTTGATGCATTTCGGGAGAATGTACTCCAGTAGTCACAACGTCATTCGAATGACCTTCTTCCATATCCAGCTTGCTTACAACGTCTTCTCTGTAATCATGTCATGGTTCGGTTTGGGTGAGTGTCCCGAAGCTCTAGTTAAAAAGCCAAAGCTAACGATTTCTAGCCAATTTTTGGCTCACCACTACCGTCATTATGGACCTCGTCGGTGACCCAACTAAGGCAGAACGCGACAATGGCAGGAAACCATGGCCCTTTGGTGAAGGAACTCGCATCTTTAACACTATCTTGAAATATCTTTATCTTGGCTTTCTCCTGCTCCAATTCATCTTGGCCTTGGGTAACAGACCAAAAGGGTATGCTGCAATTTTATCGCTTGCCCTATTAGATACTAACACGAATTTATAGTTCACGTTACACTTATCTCGTCTCCTTCGTTGTCTTCGGCTTGGTCCAATTCTACATCATCATTCTCTCGTTCTACCTCGTCATCCAGGCGTTCTCGAACTCTGAAGGTTGGGACGAACTCAAGTCTGATAGTCTAAGCGGCTTTATCAAGAACTTCTTCACTGCCAATTCTGGTGTCATTATCATCGCTCTTGCGGCAACCTTTGGTCTTTACTTCGTGGCCTCCATCATCTATCTCGACCCTTGGCACATGATTCACAGTTTCCCTCAATACTTGCTCACTGTGTCCTCATACATCAACATCCTCAACGTTTACGCTTTCAGTAATTGGCACGACGTTTCCTGGGGTACCAAGGGTTCCGACAAGGCTGACGTGCTGCCATCTGCAAAGACGCAAGTTGCTGAGGATGGTAAAGCAAAGGTCATTGACGAACCCGATAAGCCGCAAGCGGATATTGATCAAGCTTTCGAGACAACCGTTAAGCGTGCTCTAACACCTTTTGTTCCTGTGATTGAAGATGAAAAGAAGACGCTTGATGATTCTTACAAGTCTTTCAGAACCAAGCTCGTCAGTTCCTGGATTTTCATGAATGCTGGTCTCGCTGTTATTATCACCTCGGACAGTTTTGATTCTTTTGGCTTCTCGGTGATTATCCCATTCTATGATGATTATGCCTGAGAAAACGCACTTACTAATTATTGCCACAGAAACAAAACGCTGCTGCCACCAGAACTGCCAACTACTTCAAGGGTTTGCTGTGGGCTACCGCTGCGTTGAGTTTTGTTCGATTCATAGGATGTTGTTACTTCCTTGGAAGAGCGTCCATTCTCTGCTGCTTCGCGAGGCGTTAAAGGGGTCGGGCCGCGGATACGGGATATGATGGAGCCGGCTGGGCGCAAAAAATTATGTGCGGTGGATTTATACTGCATATTTCCATATTTCTGGGAGGGAATGGAATAGGATGGCTAGCATTTTGTACATTGAGGGCGATGATATCCAATGGGTACACGGAAATGGAGGGGGGGTAACATGGGCGATCATCATATATCTCTTCACGATTTCAACGTTTTTTTTTTTCCTCTTAATTAAAGGTTTCATTTTTCTTCATTCATTGCAAACTCGACGAATGGACCCCCCCTCCCTATCTCTATCCCGGTTTTGTACTTCTCCCCGAGCCTAATGCGACACCCATATGCACTGGATAACTCGAAAAGAGGTTCTTTTTGTAATGATGGTCCCGGGTATATCTACCAGGTTTTGAGCGTTTCTTTCTCTCCACTTGACTTCGGTAGTGAGTGATGACTACTATCATACAAGGTTTATTTTACCACACTCGATTATTTGAAAAGGCGGGGACAAACAAAAAAAGGGGGGGGCTTATCTGAATCATCATCATTCGCCAGCATTGACGCCGCCGTACCATATTAGAATGAGAAGCAAAGGTTTCAGTACAGCACTGTCCAGTAGGAGTACGGTGCGAGAAAAGTTGGTGTGATAAGGTATGATCCGGGAAAAATCAGAGACTAGCAACCATGAGTTACCAATCTTTTATGATATCGTAGAGGAAACCGAACTGCTCCCCCTCCCCAAGCCTTGCCGGTGTATGATATTCCAATTTTTTCCAGATACGACGTATAAAATGTAGCAGGGCAAAACATTCCATCAAACACAAGGTTTTGCACCAAAGAATGATTACTAGGCGTTCAACCGCCTTTAAAGTAGAACCGCAATGAATCAAAGTTGTGATGACCGTTTTACAATCGCATCCACTATTGTGAAAGTTGACCTAGATTATTGTACAGTACCGTATTGAATTGAGAAGAAAGAGTACTGTACTTGGCAACCAATATCATACCCCACATTCAGATGATGTTTTCTCCACTCGTAAATATAATATTTAAAAATTCCGTGATATTTCCAATGTTATTCATAGGCATACTGATGCACCGCCAAATTTCGGTAGATTTTCCATAGGCGCTGCGCTGTGAGAGAAGGTGTGTGGGGGGGGTACCGTAATATCATACTTTTAGTGTAAAAAAAGGGACACGGGATGAAACATTTTGACCTATGTATTGCACTGAAATTCTCGAGTCCTGCAAAACGGCAAAACCACGAAAAATATATATATATATATAATAATATTATTATAAAAATTGAATGGTATGATAGACATACAGGTATCATATCCGATCACTGGCCGTGCACCCCAGGCCAAAAAAAAAAAATTTAATCATGTCCCCAATCGCAGCTATTCTCGCTCGGCGAAACGTTCAGCTATCTTATTGCGACGACGACAGTCTGAGGGGAAATATGATAATAATGATAACAATCGCATTTCTCAGAGAAATTCTCGAGATGAATACCGGTGTTGTACCACTTCCATTGATCTCCATTAAAAATTTCCGAGCGCTTAAAAATCCTTGTTCTGCACAGGACTTTTATGGCATAAACTGAAGGTGACTTTTGTGCACGTTTTTTATCTTTTATTATCGAGGTGGTGTTGGCAGAGTTTGTACTGTACTGTACAGTGCTCGTTTGTGTCGGCTACGAGGCAGACACCTAGTGAGTGCTAAGTACGGTACAGTATTACGGTATTTTTCGGGGGTATTTGGCACGCCGATGTTTGTATGATGGTGAAATAAAGTTACGATACTTTTGCAAAGCGCAGTTCGAAAGGTATGCCAAACTGCTATTCTGTAAGATGATACCTTACAAACATTGGCGTGCCAAACACCCCTCTCATTCTGCGCGAATCGAAAGGTTACTACTACGCAAGACATATAGGTTGGATATCATGGTAAGGAAAATAGCAACGTCGCAAAATATGGTGGGAACGATGGGCGAAATATTTTGCAATATATCGCAATTTTCCTCACTTCTCAACGCTGAGTAAGAGCTCCAGCTATCTCTCTCCCTTGCATGGAATGGGTAGTGGGGGGGGGGGGTACAGTACTGTACAGCACAGTACATGCCAAATAAGCCCTGGTATTATTATATTCTTGTTGGAAATGTTTTTGATGGCAAAACCTTGGACTTTGTGGGGCTGAGAAGTGGGGGGGGGAGGGTGAGAATTTTTGCACAATAATAGCTTTTTCTCAGTTATCATATCATACCACAGTGTATGGGAAGGTGGCACAGGTGAATCGATGTTTTAATAGTTGCGACGTCACTCGGTTTTAGGTAAAGTTCAATCCACCGGATACTCCTCATGATATCAAGCGTGTAAAGGGCTGTTTTCTAACGTTTTGGCTCTCTTATCGCGATAAACACCCCGAGAGGAATAGTCCTAACCTGACGCCGTATGGCTTGAAGGGGCGAGCTGCGCTTCTTGTACCTCATATCAACATGAGCTCGTAATTCTGCTAACTTCTCAGCTAACCGCTCTCCAAGCCGAACTTTGTTTCAAACAGACGGCCCGAGCTCCCACGACATCAAATTTCGTAAAAACATTGCAATATTTCCTTCCACCAGTGTATGCCGTTCCCAACTCGGTGTGCGGCCCTGTGCATTGTTAACTCATCGGGTGAGGTTACAGTAGTAGAGCAGATCAGAGTTAGTTGGTTAATCGACCCGGCGATTACTATAAATTTATTATGAAGAGCCACCGCAACAGCGACTGACAAAACAGGACAAGGCTCGCTCGCCCGCACTTGGGGACTTGCCGGATTGGGCACGGTACCAGCACAAGCAGGTGTGGCGTGCGCTGGTTAGATTCTTGCTCATTCAGCATTACCTCCACGTTATGGAATAGTTACTAACCACAATCCTACAGTAGCCAAATCCGCCTACTGTACAGCACTTCACCCGAATTATCGTCATGGCGAAAGATCACGCAGCCCGCCTCCAAATACGGACGGATACTCGGGTAACAGAGATGATCAGAAGTCTCCGCCTAAACACCATCCACAATACCAGTGACTTACTAGCGCACGGTAAAATGCGGTACCCTAGTCAAAACCATCCGAAACTCCGCGGGGAGAGAGGGGGGCTCCCAAAGCCCCGTGCGATTCAGGGGTACGTTTGATCGCCGCGCAGAGAACATAGTTGAAACTCCGGTCATGTATTCTCACTCGGTTCCCGTCACTCCCTTATTTTTATCGAGGGACGGTTGCTATTATGTTATCGCAAGAGTAGATCCTTGGTACCGTACTCGCCACTTGTACTCGAGTAGTTGGTCGTACAATATGTGGTTATGGAAGCGCCGGACGGAATACACGGTAGGAACATTTCGCACGAGAAAGTCCGCATTTTGCGTTGGGCTTCCCCCTCATTATCTTCAGAGGGCAACTTGTGGCACTCGAGTAATCAATCATAACCCCTGCGATACCTTTGCATGATGCTTCGTTTAGCTTAGCTTAAACCTTAGGGCTAACTAGACCGGGGCACATTCCTTAGCACCCACTCGCGAAATCTCACTCGGGGGGGTACTGGTTTCCGATACCTTGGACTGTAACGCTCTAATTCTATCATACTCGAGTATGATACACACTACGGCAAAGTTCTGCCAATTCCTAGGAAGGCGTGGTTCTTCCAGTCCTCGAGTCACTCGTTCTCTCTCTCTCTCTCTCTCTCTCTTCCACCACCGGAACGATGGCCGCTGTGGTAATCCAATAATACCGCCACGGCTCCCCCCGCGCTCGGGTTCTATTTACTTCAACTCCACGGAATTACGTTTTCCGTTCCGCGGTTTGCACTTGTGAATTCTCATGGTGGGTACGGCGGGTAGGCGGGCAAGCGTGTGGGTAATTTACCATGTGTTTACACAAATCCTACCCCGCAATTGTCTACCGTACCGGTATGGGATTTTCTGTAACGGTGGAGGAGGTGTGTGTGTGTGTGTTGTACGAGTACAAGAATCCCATCCCTCTGTGTATAAATATAGAATTTTTTCTCCTACTTTTTTCTTCTTCTTGACCTCTTTCCCGTGCTCGGCTTGTATCGTATCATGAATGGATAACAGTGCTTGCTCGGTGTGCGCGTGTGCGCTGCCGATATGCCCGTCGTGGTTGGGTAATTACGGGTTCTGAAACCGGGTCTTCGGGTACTCGCGACTGACACGGATGAAGGGGTTTATGGAGTACGGTACTGTACCGGTACTCGAGTACTCGAGTATAAAGGTAGGATATTTTTTTTCTAGCTCCCATCTATGATAATAATTATTATGTATGATATGATATGATATCGTAGTTCCATCTAGCTTACAAGGTTTGTAGGGTTTAAGGCGGTGGTGGTTCGTGGCCTTCTTATATAGAAAACTGCCAAGCACAATTCCCCCCGTTCGACCTTACCGTTGATATTATACCGGTATGATATATACATTACCATGCGAGAATGGTATATACCTATCATACAAGCCCATCCCCCTCCACAGAACATTTCCAAACATGTGAATACAGTGGAGGGACTATTGCATTGCCTTCTGTCGCTCCTGCCGTGTGATACTCATGCTGCATATTTCACGGGCAAAACGGTCTATCATACAATAGAATTTCTGTTTCCCCGCTTCTACGAGTAGTCTTGCAGGGACAAACAATTCTCCATCATATGATATCGAGACTGTGATATTATGATACTTGTTCACAAACTCCCACCCCCCCCCCTCCCTTGTTAACTCAACTTACCCCACCCCCTGTATGATACACCCAGGACTTTACAGAAGCCGATCCCTCCAATGTTCGACG